TACTAACGCCAGTAACGATAACGATATTTAAGAACGTTCAGTTTTCTGTATATAAGCATCCTGTTGCAAGCTATATAAAACGTCTACATATAACACAGTCCGTCAATAATGCAACAAATTGTTCCTTTCTCTTGCACTTACACTTTTAACACAACATGCTTCGGTCCTAGATGGCCATCTTCAGGTGTCTTGATATATTTTAAAACTGCTACACTGCATTAATATGCGCTAAAATCAAACGCTGTAGTCCATTAATAAAATAAAATTAAATACATTAAATTTTCTATTAAAATAGTGAAGACAACACCACACGCTGCTACAGGGAACAGCGCACAAGCAAGGGGCACATTACAAAGAGCAGACGTAACAGAATAACGGGCTAACGAACATAAAGAGCAAGCTGCTGCAATAAAACACCTGGACATAAACATATGGTTCTAAACATGTGGACGACATCCCTTGTGAAGAGGCATAGAATTTTACAATAAGTAATGAAAATATTTTAATAGAAAATTTTAATGGAGTTTATTTTATTTTATTAAGTGGACTACAGCGTTTGATTTTTGCGCATATTAATGCAATGTTGCAGTTTCAAAATATACTAAGACACCTGAAGATGGTCATCTAGGACCGAAACATATTGTGTTAAAAGTGTAAGTGGAGGAGAAAGGAACAATCTGTTGCATTATTGGTGGACTGTGTTATATGTAGACGTTCAGTTACCTTATTCTGGACGAACCTGAGTAATATAATTGAAAACCTGCAGAGATAACCTCACATCTGTAGAAACCTATATTTAGTTCCACTGCTGAGAAATTAACGTGCTATCACGGGCCGTATTCTTCCATTGTGTCTCACATAAAAGACCACAACTTCACATAGCCTAACCTAAATAACACGTGGAACAATTCATGGGTCCTGTCAAGGTCATCCACTTTCTTCATCTGTCTGACCCTGGGGCTTCCTTTCTCAACCTACAACTACTCCCTGCCGTAAAAAAATCATTATGTTACGAAAATGAACACAAAGCCTCGGACCTGGACGGATCGTTTGGTGAGGGTGTTTGAGAACAGGGTGTTGAGGAGAATATTTGGACCGAAGAGAGATGAAGTGACAGGAGGTTGGAAAAACTGCATAATGAGGAGCTTCATAACTTGTACTCTTCTCCAAGTATAATTAGAATGATCAAGTCAAGGAGGATGAGGTGGACAGGTAATGTAGCACGAATGGGGGAGACGAGGAATGCGTATAGGATATTGGTGGGAAAGCCAGAAGGNACCGTTCTCACGGTCTTGTCGCTTGCAGATTTCTTATACTTTTTCTTCTACCCTGAAGATGGAGGCGATACGTTCCTCCGAAACGTCGGTTAACACCACATATACACGGTGCCAAATCCCAGAAGACTGCTTTCTTCATAGTCACCGCCGTGAAAGCCTCAAATCTTACAATATTAAAATGGATCTTAGAGAGACAGGATGGGATGGTATGGATTGGATAGATCTGGCTGAGGATAGGGACCAGTGGAGGGCTCTTGTGAAGACGGTAATGAAGCTTTGGGTTCCATAAAATGCTGGGAAATTCTTGAGTAGCTGCAGAATTGGTGGATCCTCCAGAAGGGCTCAGTTCCATGAGTAAGTAAGTAAGTACAGAGCATGAGTAATCAGCAAGGAGTGCAGATCGAATGTATTGTTCCAATTTAGCACACCACATGTAGCCGAATTATCCAGTGAAGGAAAATGGAAGGTAGCGTCCGTTACCATAAAATACAATTGTTCCATAATATAGGCTAGCTCCTAGTGCGGGTGAAAGCGACAGCAATACCTTGTACAAGGCAAATGCAGATGTACGTATTTGGAACTAACTAATTAAATAACTAACTTACGCAAATGCTACTAGAAAGCCGGGCTTCAGTGTTGTTAACATTACGAAACTGGAACGAATCCTGAACAATTTTAGTCTCCTTCGCATAAAAACAAATCTTATAAAGATATGTCTATTGTTTTGCCATATATACCAATGTCGCCGTAGAGGTATTTTTCTCTCGAAATTTTAAACCAGCATTTTATACTACTATTTCCCACATTCGTTCTACAGGCTTCACCGACATCATATTTTTCTATTTGATCACCCCCAATAATATTACGCAATGAAAACGAACTTGGAAGGCTCCAATTTCCCAGGTTTCTGAAGCCTTCCGTTATATTCCCCAGACAGAATAACGTGTCGGCAACAGAGTAGATCTGTATGCTAGACTTGCCCGATTAGAACCGCGCCATAGCTCAAGCGGTTAGTGGTCGGCTTCCCACCGCGGCGGCCCTTGTTCGATCCTCGGTCTGGTCAATGGGATTTGTGATGGACAAAGTGGCGCTGGGGTAGGTTCTCTCCGAGTACTTCAGTTTCCCCTGCCAATCTTCATTCCACCAATTGCTCCACAATCACCCTCACCTATCATCTGGGGCTGGTACAATAGGCCAGAAGTGGCCACAGTACAAACTAACCGATTCGAATCTTGACCGAATTAATTACAAGTAGGCCACGACCACGTCCTAAATCCTACATTTATCACACCGTTCACTTTCATATTCCCACCGCATTCTACGCTATGCAACTCCTGAAGTTGAGAGATCGTTCTTAAATACATTAAAATTATGAGTTCCGACTACATAACCATACGGCTGCTCGCTGGAGAATTCATTGCTTCATAACTTGCTATTTTCTTCAAGTCACTTTTGCTTCCTTCTTATTCTCAATGTTCCACTTAGCAATTTGTTCTTGGATATAATCAGTTTCTGTTATTCTCTCAGAATGAGTGACCAAGTTGTACACCCACATACAAAATTTCCATGAGAAAGTGCTGCACCAAATGTACTGCGGCACAGAATAAAAGAAAGAGCAGTTTTCAGTTTTAGTGGCCACAGAGAGAAATATAAACTGACTTGTGACATGCGGCAGGACGAAGCGCTTCAGTGCACAGTTCAAACTTCATCCAGACGTCAGAGTCTACTGGACTCAGCACGCCCGCTCTGTTCCGAAAGACTAAAAAAACTGGAAAATCCATATGTTAAGTTACAGAGCACATAACTGTTCAGACACCCGTCCCCATCAAGAACTACATGGCACAGGTCCTTTTATAGCAGTCGGTTGCTCAGCTGGTTATGAAATGTCTTGTTTCTTGAAAACGTTGCGGCTCGCGAAAGTTCACCATGGACCCTTTCCTCGGCAAATTCAATACAGTCCCCAGTTTCACAGGCATCACAAGTTCGCGGAGAACAGCTTCAACGTTACCTTTAAATCCGCGGCTAGTCCTCTCATGCCGCACCTTTCTTCCATGTTGGCCTAGGATGCTTCAACACAGCGAACGCCGGTTTGGCGTTTCGTTATTTTGACAGGGCATTGTTTACTCCCTCTGACTGCTGTATGCAATATGTAGTTTCGCCTACCTCATTTATTTAAGACCGTTTTATCCATTTCGTCAACTGCCTCCACTGAAAAAGGCCATAGTAATTACGGAGGTGACCGCCTCTGTGTTCTAGTGGTAGATTCAAAGGTCATGGGTTCGATTCCCGTCGCTACCAGATTTTCTGAGAACGGTGTCCACTCGGCCTCGTAAGGATGATTGAGGAGCTACTTGAATGAAAAAGTATCGGCTCCGGTCTAGAAAACCAAAATTAACGACCGTGGCGATCTGTTGCGCTGACCACGTGACACCCTCTATCCGCATGAGTTGGCACTAACTTCGCCGACAAGCGGAGGTCGCTCGGTCGGTATAGTTCGCTTGCGGACTAGAGTCCACGAAGTTTTTAAGTATGAAAGTTGAACTAAACTCCTCAGATTACACTGACATGGCAATGTTTAAAAGGAGGAAATCACACATGACACCTACAGCGGGGTTAAAACACGAAAATTCCCGAATATGGCGTACTAACCACTAAACGACGATGATCCGTTACAGTTTTAAATATATAACATAGAGTTCTACGTATCTCAAACAGGGGTTCCGTGATATAATTTAAAATGAATTTGTTAAGATCTGAGCTTTTCGCAGCGGTGACTATGAAGAATGCCGTCTTCTGGGATGTGGCGCCGTGTAGATCTTATGTGAACCGATCTTCAGAAATATGGGTTTTCGTCTCAGCAAGTCTTTGAAAACTCTTATCTGCTCCCTCAATAAATTCTTCGGTCCAAATATTCTCCTGAACACCCTGTTCTCAAATACCCTCAGTCCATTTTCCTCCCCTAATGTCAGAGACCAAGTTTCACACCCATACAGAACCACAGGCAAAATTATAGTTTTGTATATTCTGATGTTTATGTTTTTGTACAGCAGACGAGAAGACAAAAGGTTCTGGACTGAATGGTAGCAAGCATTACCCGAGTTCAATCGCCTCTTAATTTCCTCCTGAATCAGGTTTTGATTTCTTATCGTCATCATCATCACAAAATTCGCCATTGAGCATTAGACTGCGACACGTTCCTCCGAAAGGTCGCTTCACTTTCTAAGGACTACACAGCATTTTATCGCAGAACATGGACACTTTGTAGTCCGTTTATATTTTCACAATTTATTTTTCCGAAGTCCAGCCGTCTGCGAAACGGTCTCAAAAATTCTGTTACAGTTTTCCATCACAAAATATTAAACTGAACATTACCACGCTGTGGTTGCCATTCGTGTTTCGTATTCCGGTGATACCGGGTTCCAATTTCGGGTCGTAAATAGACAATCTTTAGGCTTCTCGTAATTTTCCTCATTCCCTCCATATAAATACTGGAGTATTACTTTAAAATATAGTACTCCTTTCCATATTTTTTTCAATTTATCATTATCAATCCACTCGACGACAAATTAATTGTGACAAAGAGCCGTTGGATAACATAACATTAATCAGAAACAAAAATACAGGTCAGAAACCCAAGCCTAACTTGAAATGGAAAGGGGAGATAGCGTAATACTGCATACATCAGATATGCGGGTATGTGAAGTGTTATTATTGGTCCCTTACCTTGTTGCAGGTCATGGCTGGATGCGTCCGCCGGTGCACTTATCTTCTGTCCTGCAGTATCCAGTCACACTACAGGCTCACTTATAATCCAAGGGACCTCCACGAAGAACTGCACCCTCACACAACACACACCAGTTCACTATTCGGTCACTTGCGGAAGAACAACAATGCTGTTAAACATATGCCCGTTTAGCACGCATGTTGATTCTTCTGTCTGTCACTGCACATGTACCCAGGTCCGCACCAGAAGCATATCCTCCAACAGACAGACGAGATGGCCACCACGGTGTTCGAAAAAATGTTGAACCTGTTGAGGCGAACAAGATTTTATAGACTTCAAGGATTGAGCCCCGGAGTGTATATGCTTCAAAGGAATGAAGATGCGGCTGTTAGTGGTGGGTTCTATGATTTCCCCCCCCCCCTCAAACTGGTTGTGTTTCCCACCAATCGGGCTGCTGTTGGGTCTATCACCGTCAGAAGCAGCAAAGCACTACAGCCAAAGAGAAAGTAGGCTACCCATACCAACACACTACTCATACATACCTGAATCGTGGTGCTTCTGCTGGCCTCCAGATGAAAGTCTCCCAAGCACCGATCGTCTGTCTTCTTGTGGCCCTACGTGGCATATCGGAACACTGTCCCAGTAAAATGCCGGTGTCCGTAAGATCAAAACGAGTTTTGATTCATGTGGCTATGTTTAGCTGCCTCCGTTCCTGTTCTTTTTTTCTGCGGTCTTCTTGGGTTAAGGCTTTGCTGACTTGCAAGAATCCTGAATTCATTTTGAAAATGATATTTGGAACGACTACTAGGATGGAAGTCATCCCAAAGCAAGTACAACACAAAACACAAAAACATTTATACGACTCCACGACTCAAAGAACATTCGAACTGGCGAAAGAAGTATTCGAGAGGCCAAAAACGCTCGAATTCTGTGATAGGCTAACCAGAAATGTCCATTCTCATGAGATTTATGTCAATGGTTGCTTCATTACACCTCAAGACATGTTGGGCACTGACTGCGCGCGGCATATATTTGTATTTAACATAGAGTATCTTGGGATTTCGTTCTTTTTCCGTCTTTAGCTGATTGACTGTGAGCATATTTATCTGGGCAAGGCAAGGAATACAAGTTTAGTATTCGAAGGGTTCGGGGTTTAGTCTTAACCACTGGCAGTAAATCACGAAAACAAAGAACATGTCAATATGCCGACAAACGCAAAGACCACCGTAAAGTCAAGTCTGGAAACGTCGTTTATATTACATAAAATCTACCTTGGGCAGTTATGTTCTGTCATGCGTTCTATGTCCTACGGTATAACCACGTATGCAGGGGACGCATACACAGCAACGGCTTGACAAGAAAATATTACAGACAACATTACCTGAATTATTTATTGTAGTTACATTATACCAATACATGTTTCAATCATCATGAATCATCATAATGTGGATTAGAAATAATTACAGTCCCCTAATTGGGGTATGACGCCGTGTAGCCCGGTGAAAGTCAAACGAACTTTCCGGGGGAGAGGGATATTGCCTCAATGTTCAGGGTCGACGACGCGCACAGCTTTGCTTGCCAGCTGCTTCACGCTGGTTTCTTGCTTGGATTACTCTTCGACCTTGAAGATAGAGGAGACATGATCTTCCGAAACGTCGATCGACTTTCGCCGGAGTATACGGCATTGTATCCTCATAGCAACCGCTGTGAGAACCTCGAATCCAACATAACAGATCAGGCGTGAAATATGTCACTTAAGGAAAGTGAAATCATCGGAGCTTTATTAACCAAAAATGTGAACTCATTCAAATCTACACGACTAATCCACATGGTCAGAAGAATTAATCAGCGGAATGGATCAAATTAATTAAGTAGGATGCAATGTGCACTCAGTTTTTCACTGGCAGATAAAGGAAGATTCTATTGGGCGAGATACGGATCTGTTGGAATATGATACAGAATATAGAGGGCAGCAACTCCTACATGTCAGAGACATTCGTGTGAAGAAAAGCACGTCTCGAACTGTCACCGTCATATTTGTACATATAATCATTTTCCTGCAGCCATTCACACAAAAATATTCCGTAATGACGCTGAACTAAGTTACGGTGACACAGTGCGGCGACAGGGCGATACAAACGCTGGCCGCAGGTACGTAGTAATAATTCTGCTGGTAGGTGGTTCTCACAATAGTCTCTCTGTTGTCAGCTGTCGTCATTTTCATTAATATATTTATTTAGATGAGTTCCTAAGTGACAGAAGGTTGGAGAACACTGCATAATGAGGAGCTTCATATCTTGTACTCTTCTCCAAGTATAATTAGAACGGTCGAGTCAAGGAGAATGAGGTGGGCAGGGCATGTAGCACGAATGGGAGAGAAAAGGAATGCATACAGGATATTGGTGGGAAAGCCAGAAGGAAAGAGACGACTGGGAAGAGCAAGGCGTAGGTGGGTGGACAATATTAAAATGGATCTTAGAGAGATACGATAGGATGGTATGAATTGGACTCATCTGGCTCAGGATAGGGACCAGTGGAGGACTCTTGTGAACACGGTAATGAACCTTCGGGTTCCATAAAATTCTGGGAAATTCTTGAGTGACTACAGAATTGGTGGTCCCTCCAGAAGGGCTCAGCCACATGAGAAAGTAAGTAAGTAAGTAAGTAAGTAAGTAAGTAAGACGAGTTCCTAAGACGTGCATTTTTTGCTTTTCGATACTAGGCGTTACGCTGATATGATCCTCCATGTTTAATGCACAACTCTGATGCCATTCTACAAACTGACTGGCAGGTTTAATCTCAACATTCCCGTTAATGTGAGAGAATGTGTTAGGTTAAGCAACTTTTGAGACACGCTGTATATTAACTTGCTACTATCATAGATCAGGTATTCTGGCTTCGTCTGAGACTTTTAAACGTCTCGCGGAAAACTTCGTGGGACGCGAGATCGGCCATTTGCAATGAATAACAACATAGAGAAACATGGACGTACGTGACATGGCGGGTTTAAACCGTGTGGCTGCTGTATAAGTTAATATCATTAACCCAAAAGTGACCTAATTTTACTTTTGTTGAAGGTAGAAAGAACAGCATCCGAAGTAGGAGTAAGGTGAGGCACGTGCATACTCAGCTGACACTGATGGTATTTTAAGGTCACTGTGACGCTAGGAACACCCGACAGCCAAGAATGTGGCAGTGTGGCGGGAAGTAAACACACTAACCTCTCAGAGTCAACACCGAACACCTTGGCAAAAAAATATGAGCTTCCTGCTCGGGTCAGCTGCACTTGACGGTAGTAACTGATACAGTACACAGATTTTAAATTAGAACAGCCATTATCAAACTGTGGATCACATAACACTGAAAGAAAGAGACAATCAAAAAGAGAGAGAAATAAAGAAACAAACACGTATAAAAATGATCACAGTATCAGTAAAAAATAGAAATATGCATTTGAGAGATTCAGGTGCCTGTATGAGTGGTCAAAGTTCCTGGCTACAAATCCAGAGGTCCCGGGTTCGATGGCCGGCGCTAACAGATTTTCTGAGTAGTGGGTCTGGAACGGGGTCCACTCAGCCTCGTGAAGATAACTGAGGAGCTATTTCAAGGAAATAGCGGCTCCGGTCTAAAAAACCAAAATTAACGTTGCGCTGACCATGCGACACCCTCTATCCGCTAAAGTTGGTACTAACTTCGTCGACAAGCGGCAGTCGCTCAGTCAATAGTTAGCTTGCGGACTAAAGTCACGGAGTTTTTTTTTGTATGTGCACGCACTGTGCCATAAAGTTGTGTGGTGTGCGTGGAGATAAAGATCCATTCTTTTGCAAATCTGCAATGTAGAGATGAACGGTCAGCTTCATGTCCCGGCAACCTTTCGGCCAGATAGAGAGTGCTTTAGTTTATTTTGCGACTTTCTTTCATCTACACAAGATAATGCTGCGTCCATGGAACCTAGTGAACCTGTAGAGGCAAAACTGCCCCTGTTCTTATGCAATATGTCTTCAAAGAATAAAGGGGCAATACGCGTACGTGTGGTCCGCAAGGAGTTGAAGAACTTCTGGCAGTCAAAGGACAGGGGAGTGCAGGAGAACTGTAAGTTATGTAGCCCTAAAGAAACAATGATGCCTGAGCCACTTCATCCTGTTAGATGTAGCATTTAGGGGGAACCAAAAATCCACACAAAAGCCTTGAGAGGATAGACCGTTTTCGAGAACAAGGGCCACATGAGTAATATCAATAAAATGTGCCTTAAATAAACAAAGGCCTAAAAACCAGTTGGATCACGACAGAGTTCTCTGACAGACTTTTGACAATATCAGTAACAAATTTCAGCGTTTCATAATTTAATAAATCGGAGGAATTCTTTGACCAGCTGAATATAAAAGGTTCAAAAAAGACTTCATAATAGAAAAAAGTTATTCAGATTGTTATGCTGGGAGACAATTATTGACAAATTGGTGTTTTACTTTCATTACGACAAACATGTTTGATAAAAATGCATCAGTGCAGTTCCCACATAATGATATCCTCACAGGGTCTACATGCCGATTAATAACTATGAAGCAACATGCAAAGTTGGCACATAAATTTCTTGTTCAGTAGAAGTAGCCACAGAGCTCAGGCACTCTTCTCGAGTTTAGATTGCGCTGCGTGGACGGGGTCTCCCTGGAGAGTTCAACCTTCAGCGCTGTGCGGTCAGCAAATTACTGCACTATAGGCCTAACAGTGATGATATGCGAACTGAAACCTCTATTTAGCCGCTTTCCAAAGCCATGATAGACTTTCAGATGCTACCGGACATTTGGGTCGAAGCAGGACAAGCCTTCGGATTCCTCAAGCTATCACCTAGAGTCTTACATACATTTATTTACTGGAATATCCGGTTGTGTAATGACGTCAGAAAACCCGAAAGACCTCCTTGAAGACCTAGGCGTATATGGAAAGAAGATATTAAAATGTACGTTGGTGTGGAATGGTTTATTTTGACGAAGTGTCGTGTGAATATTATAATTAATCTTCGGGTTTCATAGAGTCGAGGGGTATCTTGACTAGTTGAGCAATTCTTAACTTTGTAAAGACTCTTTTCCATAGCTCAGTGATACTATGGCATCTGAAATGTTTCATTGTGAGTTCTGATTTAAACGCATAATGGGGAGGTCACCTATGTATTCACAACCGTATTCAAAGGTTTTTTATGTTCTCACGGCGGTAAATATTAAAGTTTTGTATGTGAGACCGTGTAGCTTGTTAGACAGGTACCAATATTTCGGAGGAAGCCAACGAGGTTTTCCAGATCGCAACATACG